CCAAACCCTAAATCCTCAACACCAAATCCTAAATCCTAAACCCTACATCAGAGGCCCATCCTTGGGCTTCACAGCTTTGGAGGACTCTCCCGAGATGAAGGACAGCTTCACCTTGCCCCGGGATGGCCCGCTCCTGACGGCTCGGTTTAGGATGTAGGGTTTAGGGCTTAGGGTTTAGGGTTTAGGGGTTCAGAATTTAGGGTTATATAGGGGATATGTTAAGTAGGGGATATATAGGGGATATGTGGGGAATATGTAGGGAATAGAGAGGAGATATAAGGGGGATATATAGGGATTGTGGGTTGAGGAGTTATTCTCTTTTTTTCCCCGGGTTGAGGGCTCAGACTTAAGGGTATGAGGTTTAGGGTTTAGGGCAAACTAAATGGAAAACTATCGTAGCATTTTTGGGCTTCGGGTGCGGGGTTGAGATCCGAACTCACTTGGTTCTTGAGCCTGGGGATGTGGGGGTATGGGTGTAGCATTCAGGGATCAGGGTCTGCGATCAAGGTCTAGGCTTTAAGATTTGGTAGTTTCCGAAAATGAGGGGACCACAGTATCATATAGACCCCCAAATACTATAGCCCTAAACCCTAAACCCTAAACCCCCCAAATACTATAGTCCTTATTATTGGGACCCTCAAAATGGTACCCCTAATCTAGGGAAACCCCCATTTGGGGCTACAAGTTGAAGGTGCAGGCTTTGGGGTCCAGGTGTTATTTAGGGTTAGGGTTTAGGATTTAGGGTTTTGGGGTTTAGGATTTAGGGTTTGGGTTGTAGGTTTAGGGCTTTTTTGTTCAGATTTTCGGTTTGGTGGGGACATATTTGAGTGGCGGTCAAAATTCCTTATCTGGCAGATGTTCAGGGGCTCGGGGTCACTATTTTGGTTGTCTCCCCATGGGTTTTCAGAAATTCCGTCTTTTACAAAGGAACAGCCATTTAAATTAACACCTGTTGAGTAGCGCAGTTCGCTGCATCAGGGTTATGGTCTTGCTTTGTCGCCCCTATGCGTTCACAGGGTTGATCGGCGCCAGCTGCTGAAGTCATGTCCGGCCAAGACATGAGCTAGTGGTTAGTAATTTTGGTTGTCCCTCATGTAAGGTCACGTCAAAATGTAGGGGAGTTATCCAAGGTGTTAGGCGTTGCAAATTACGTAGGGACACCAAAACCCTAAACCCTAGGGACACTGGGGAGATCGCATCGAAGGTTCGGGCTTCGGCATGATGCAGTTTGTCAGAGCTAGGATTTAGCTAGGATGTACGGGAAATGCCACAATGCTTAGGGTTTACTGTCTAGGGGTCATGGTTTAGGGCTCAGGGTTGAGAGAAACCTCTGCAGCAAAATCAGAACACTGAAGCTACCTTTTGGGTTAGGGCCGGCAGAGCTGTCAAAACTCGAAACCCAGCTTGGGCCCCTGAATAATGCCGATAACATTCACCAATAGCGTTTGTATAACTCTAGTATAACATGCACACGTTTTTCTAATTACTGAAGCCCACACATTATCCCCCTAACTTCCACCCCTAAACCCAAATCGAAAAAAACACGAAAATCTCAGACAACAATGGCCAAGGCGCGGCAAGATGCTGCAACCTGCCAGCAGCTCCAACGGCCCAAACCTTACTGGTGCTGAATCTAAATGCATTTAGGGGTAGGGGTCTGTAGTTGAGGGTTTGGTGTTTGGGGCTTTGGGNNCCCCCCCCCCCCCCCCGCTGCGCATGCTTCCACGGAAGCCCGATCGGGGCCCTACCGAAAGGCTCTGGATCTTGAACTCCTCTACTTGCCTTTACAGCACCCTGTGATGCTCATAATTATGTGCCGATGCTTGGCGCCCAGGAAAAAAGGGCAGCGGTGGCCCATATCCGAGGCTTGGGAGGAGAGAGGTGAGTCCCAGAATGATGCCTACACACACCAAGCTATCTACCCCATTTAATGGTACCCGCGTTGAGTTCAACCTCAATGCGGAATACGCCATAAGCAACCCTAACCCTAAAGGGTAAGAAACACGTCCAGCATCTCATACTCATCGAAGAGTACCTTTGCTGTCAGAAGGTTACGCGGTTGGTTTCCTGCCTAGCTTTCTAAGATTTCAGGCTTCAGAGCTTAGGGGTTGGGGCTTCAACAAACCCAAAATCCATACCCCTCACCTTGTCTGAGGGTTGTTGAAGCTTCTATCTTCCTTCCAAATAATACTTGAATGCTGTACTGTCTATGTTTTGCAGGATATGGTGTAGAGCATTGCTTATGTTTGCTGGTTGGAGGAGTGGAAACGCAGCGAACAGGTGCTACCGTACTCAATGCGCAATGCGCAATGCTCAAAACCCTAGTCGGGTTTAGGTTTTAGAGTTTAGGCTGTAGTGTCCTGGGCCTAAACCCTAAACCAGACTAGTCGCTTCTTGTGAGCCTTGCCAGATTAGCCTATGGAATCGTGTTGTAATCCCCATAGATCCACAGGTTGTCGAAAGGGCCCAAGAAACAAGAAGCGTGATTCTGTAGGGTAAGGCAGCCAAAAAATAGTCCAAAGCGCATGGTCCCCAATTTCAACCAACACATTCAAAACAAATCACATGCAGCAGGCTATGGTAGCTAAAGAGATCACACAGCCAAGGAAACCCAAATCCCTGCACCCCAAAGACCCACCCAAGCCTTTCCGTGAAGAAACCCTCACTAGCGCCAATCCCTGCACACGGTAGGGCTTAGGGTTTATGGCTTAGTTCTTAGTATACCCTAGTCCCCAAACCTCAGTCAGTTAAGCATGAACCCTTGCAAGGTGCGACAGCGACACGAATCGGCCTGGTCGACACCAGTCTGCGAAGGGTCTCCATGGCAGCTGAGACTGCTGCTTGAAGGTCAATATTTGGGGGTTCCCCAAATTCAGGGGTACCTCTGGCCTATAAGGAGGACTAAAGTACTTGAGGGTCCATGTGGAGCTCCCCCTTATAAAAAGCTTCTATTCATAAATTACCCAGGGAACCCTAATTGCGTGATATCAGGACAGGTCAGCCTTCTATCTTTGGCAGCCCTACCTTCGAGTGACTGCAAGTCAGTTTGGCTTAGGGTTAGGGCTCAGTTTGTCTGTGGGTGTATTACTACTAGTGCTACTTTACAATTATTACTATCATTAGTAGTATTACTATTACTAATTACTACTATTGTTACTATTATTGCTATTATTGTTGCTAACATTACTATTGTAACTATTACAACTATTAGTACAGGGTGGTCACAATCTTTGCGGGATGCGTAATTGATCTCCACTGTTCGTTTGAAACAGTTGTCGTTGCCAGTGCCTTCATTGGACAACTATTGCACTCAGCGCTGAGGAGCAAAGCTTTTGAACCCGCAGGCATGCAGGGGACTCATTGACACCACTCAAGACCAAAACTTCGATACTTAGGGTTCAGGGTCGGGTACAAGTAGTACTGTCCATCCAAGATGAGGATACATGGCAGCGTCAAGGACTGCAGTGGACTGGAACTCAATTCACACATGGCTGAGCCGCACTTGCAACGCCAAAGTCCTCAATGAGCTTGTTAGTTTCACGCTGCTGGTACTCTGCGACGTCAGTCGGATCCTGAGAGAACACCAAGTTCAGGTAGACAAGGCCATGTGTTGCTTGAGCTTCTGAGGCATCATATCTGAAAGTCTAGACACCTCCTGAGGCAATCAACACATTCGCACGGCGGCGCATGAATTTATCTTTTGCATCTGGGATCATACCTGTTGAAGGTACACCAGCATCCCTTACCTTCCTTCCCGCCTGAATCTATCCCATTGGACCGGCGATTCCGCCACAGCCGTACCGGCATCTTGTACCGTTGCATGACTGTCCTGCCACCCTGACTACACACGTCCCATCGCTCAAGTAAACCTTATGCTGGCTCGGTCCTGTGTCTCGCTGTCCAGCTCAAAGCGGACCTGTCCAGAAGACATATCACATGACAAGGCTTGCGTGAAGTACCAGCAATGCTGGGGGCGAGCCATAATCCGTACCCGGGATATTAAGGGCTTTTATAGGATGATAATGAAAGATCAAATGGACAGGAAAATGGAAAACAAAAGGGAGAGTGTGTTTTTCAGGATACACAGCGTAAATCGGATGTGATCTTTCGTCTAAACTCCTAGTATCCCCCTTAAAAAACCCTATGATGGTCCCTAGACATTCCCTATATAGCCAGCCTTTCTGGAATTTAGACTGCGCTTCATGTAGGTCGGGTCGACTCCTGATGCAAGTGGAGAACGTTGCTCAACCCTGAACCATAAACCCCCTAAACTCTAAACGTATGTGCCAGCTCAGCTTTCTAGCTGTGAATTATGGGCTTACTGCTCAAAATACAAGTCCCTTCATGCTGATCTGTTGACTTAGCCCACCCTCCACCCCTAACAGTACATGTGCGCCTCAGGATCTCAGACCTCTCATGGAGGAATATCTCATCTTACGGGTGCGGGCCCCCATTCATACAGTAACCTTCTTGTGTGTGCAGTTCAGACAGAGGCAACACGCAGCCAGAGCTTCTGGAAGCTTGGAGATGACAATAAACCGAAATTCGGACAATTCCAAGCGTGCTGTATCAAGCTTCAGGTGTAAAAGAAAACTAATCCCTCCTGTATAATCCCTGCATGCTCCCAGTTCCCATATGACACCAGTATCATCCCTACGTGATCTTTATGTATGTCTGGCAGTTTCGCACAATACGGGGACCCCAACATAGACCTCAACATAGACCCCAATATGCTAGAATCCTTATGATGCGGACCCCGAAAACGGTACCCCTGATCATGGGAACCCCATAGATCCCATCCACAACTATCCTAAATCCTTAAGGAATCCACGACCATCCTCTTATAGTCATCGAGTCCAGGTCCGACGGTTCTCATCATAGCATACTTGCAATAACCCCCTCCCCCTAATAACAAGCCCCCGCCCCCACCACACAATTATATAAAAACTCCCCTAGTATACAATGGTACTACATTGGGTGACCACACCCTAATGATAAATGTTCCCCCGCATGTAATCATTGCTCTACATTATGTTGATTAATTGTTATGGGGTCGGGGAAGTTTTGGGGGGATAACAAGAACTACCTGGTGCTTTGTGTCTCTTTTTAAGAGGCCATATGCTTGTACAATCCTCAAGACTACTCCCTTCATGATCCCACTCCGCTTAACCCCCTGCAACCCCAATTTCTAATTTCTAAATGTCTGAACTCTCTCAAAAACCCTAAACCCTAAAACCTAAATCCTAAACCCCCAACCCTAAAACCTAAAACCCTAAAACCTCAAACCCCAAACCCTAAACCCTAAACATAGTGGGGTAAGATATCCCTAGGCCTCCTGCGAGGCAAGCTCCAGGGCACCGTTGTCCACCCGCCGCCCGCGTATCTGCCGGGTCAGCTTCAGCAGGGTCCTGCCATTTGTACTGTTCTCAGAAAGGGTAGGGGTTATGGCTAAGGGTTTAGGGTTTAGGGTTTAGGGGTTTAGGGTTTAGGGTTTAGGGGTTATATGAGCTACAGCCCGTATTTCCTACCCAATTTAATGGACATGGGTTCCTTCTTAGGGACTATATTAGGGGTCCCTTAATCAGGCTAATGTTGACTGTAACTTATATGGGGATTGTATAGGGGATATATTGGGATAATGGAAAAGAAAATGGAAACTAGTATAACGGGGTTTAGGGTTTAAGAGGTTATTATCAAAACTATGGGCCCCTGTTTGGTTGTAGATTATATTCCGACACCTAATATTTAGGGGTACCTAGATGGGTCCCCAATTTTGGGAACCACCCATTTTACAACGTCTGCGCATGTTAGGGTCCAGGGCTTCGGGGAAGGCCTTGGGATTTAGGGTTCGTGAGGTCTTAAGACTTGCGAATCAGACTTTTAGGTGACCATTTGAAAACATAGACACCCTTCTGAACAGGGCATGCAAAGTCTGGAAGTTAATTAAACCGCTATGCTATCCATTTTCTGGGCCTATTTAGGGCTTATACAACGGTCTGAGAAAAGCGCGGGCAGCTGCCATGCAGAAAATGCTTGTCCTGATTCGCGCTTTCATCCTGACCCTATGGTTCAAATCAGCTCCGCCTCAGAAAAATCAGGCCTTTACAATCTAGTATCATAACTCTGGGTTGGCCCCTAACACCCTTTGAAAAATGTTAGTATATAGGGTCCCTTATTAAAGCCATTAGTGAAAATATTAAATATCCCAGGGACCTACCCAGAACTACTGAAGTACTGATTTGCGGTTGACATTTGATAATGTTGCGCTCATTACTGTAGAACCCTCTCTAGCTGATGAAGGGGGTGAAGGCAACACAGGTGTTAGAGCCGGATCGTCTTCTCCAAGCAAGAACGGTCCTGAGAATCCTCGTAATCTCCGAGTTGTCCTGGGCCGGGCTTACATGCAACAACTTGACAACTGTGAATGACATCTTCCGATTGAAAAGATTACGAACATTTTCCTTGAAGGTTCCTGCCAAACCACCAAATGCACAACAGCTCAACCACCAATGACAACAGTTAGTTCAAAAGCACCTGCATATGCTCTATAGACTGATCTTCCATTATCCCCACATAACCCCAATATAACCCTGATATAACCCTCATATAACCCTCATATAACCCCTATATAACCCTATACATTGAATCTACCAAACTGCAACGCATGTGCGGCACAGTTGTTGCCCATTACGGCATTTGATGTAGTTTGAGATCCTCGACACTTGGCTCAAGATCCTGAAGTCAACAGAAGACCAAACATCCCAAGCCTGGTTTCTACGTGGGGGTTCCCGAAATTTGGGGTACCAATTTGAGGGCCCCTACTATAAGGAGTATGGTTAATTAGGGTCTAGATCGTGTTCCTCCATTTTGGGAAGCTACCATGTTGTACTGTGTTCTATCAAATCATGTGGTCTTGTAAAGTGACTTATAAACGCAGTGAATATGAAATTTCGATGTCCAAAAGCACCACCCTCCAACAAACGCCCACTTCACACCAGAAACCGATGCCTCTGTTTGAACGAAGTCTCAGAGTCTGAAGCCGCGACCCCTGTAGGTGTTCAATCTCTTTACACAAGCTCATGCGCGAAGGTCTGTCTACTTGCGGTTATAAGCATGAGAGCTGGAGGCAGCTAGAAACTCGGTGCCTATGACGCCACTTACAGTTACCTAAAAAGCTCCAAGTGGACCCATGTGGCTATGTCCAAAATGAGGGTCAACTGTAAATTCTCAAATACCGAAAATTCCTCACTATACTTGGAGGGTCAGAGGGACACAGGAAGCAGGGGGACACAGGAAGCAGGTAAAGAACCCCTGAAATAGCAATCCTGGTGCTCCCCAGTAAAGCCTACTTGACTCCCCCAAGTACGAAATCCCCATGTTGAGATTAGACGGCAGAGGCTGGCCTTTGGATCGTCGATCCGGGCCTGCGCCTCTGCATACGAGAGAGCCGCGCGGGATTTGATGATCGCCTCGAACACGTTTGGATCTCTGAAACGAGCGGGGCCCTTAGGGACCTCATTCAGGGGGACAGACCTCCTCCAACATTAGCCATCCACAAATCTCCTGACAGCCCTTAACCCTCATACATGGGGCAGGGATGCTAAGTTTCGGTCCAATTCTGGAGTCCATCTCAGAGTCTAGCCCCTAATTTGTGGAATCTCTCAACAGAGACGCTATAGTTTCGCGGCAAATCCACATATGTCCTGTGATGGAAACAATGCTACAGCCGCCCACAACGCAAAAAGGTGCCAGAATTCTTCTGATGCCAACATGATGCTAACAACGGCAGAATCTGCTTCAAAGAAAACTGCAAGATAGCTTGAAAAACATGAGAGTAAGTATCTCCTAAGTCTTAGGTGGACCCCCACCCAGTAATAGTGACTACAGGGGATAAGAGGGATTATATGAAGGTCCTATCATATTCCTACTATACCACTATCACAGGGCTTGGGGTCCTCCTACCCTATACCCCAAAATTGCTTGTAGCCATAACCATCCTCTTCAGTAGACAAACCCATCAGCCTGCATGACCCCCACATCACAAGCACCCTTAAAAGGAAGATTTCCTTAAAATGGGGGGACCCCATCCGCAAAGCACCCCTTTTTTTGGAAACCCTGATCCCCTTAAACCACCATGTAATCCAGTTTCCATTTCATGCTCCATTTTCTTTTCCATTTGATTCTCCACCATTGGGGGTATATCCTTAAACCCTAGACCCTAGTATCCATTTCCATTTTCGGGCCTTGCAGAACTTGGTGTCAACAATCTCTGCTTCCGGAGTCATCTCCCAAAGAACTGAGAAGGTGAGGCGCTCTACCTGCCGGACCAGTCAATTATCCAAAAAAAAGTCAAATGGTAGTTTCCATATAACCCTTATTCTGAGGATCCCCAACATGGTACCGCCAAATTTCGGAAACCCCCAAAAGGCTGCCACAGAAAAGGACTGCCCTTCCTACCTGCAATCCTTCACCCTCCCCCTTTTGGACACCAGTCATTGAGGTTGCATGCATGGAGCAATCACAATATGCGACTGTAGTCTAAACCAACCGGGCATGAGCTATGACCCGGTTTCAGTTGCTTCCTGGCAAGATGTAGTTGTGGTCTTGCCCGTCCTCCTCGTCTTCGAGCAGTTTCACAGAGAAAGGCCCAACCCATGTGCAGTCCATTCCCTATCTCTGAACCTTGCAGAAACTTACTGGTGATGAGTAGGGAATAAGGCCATATAGTCCCTATATAACCCCTATACACTAAGTTTTCTTCCTAACTGCCCCTACCCAGTAACGATCTAGAATAACGGTAATACAGGGCTTTGCGTACACACTTTTTATCCAACTGTTCTTGAGTGACAAGTTTTGACTCACCTACGGAGAACAATTGGGTTGGCCCCTAAAGCCCTTTGAAAAATATTAGTATATAGGGCCCCTTATTAAAGCCATTAAGGAAAATATTCAATATTTCAGGGGCCTACCCAAACAATCTGTTGCAAATCTACGCCTGACCACGCAAGGAGCAGATGTCCGTGGTGAGAAGGCCTGGACCAGAGTTGCAAATGTAAATTTGGGATGTGGGTTTCATTTCGTGACTAACTTCAACTCCAGCAGGGTTATGTAGGGGTTATATAGAGATATACAGAGTTCAGGGTGTAGGGTTTGGATTTGCTGTTCAGGGCATTGTTGTGAGCATAGGTCTTGGAGAAAGGCCAACGAAGGGACTTGTTCGTCTCTGATTTCTTATCGTTTGTCCTTACGCTTGATGTGGAGTGCTCGCGCGGGACTTTGCATTTGCATTTTTTGAGAGGACTCTACTTAATTGCAATAATGTGTTGGGGCACATTGTACTATAGCAATATAAGGACTAAAAGAGAATGAAATTGATAATTATCTGCTTCTACATCACAGACTTTAAAAACCACCCCTACAGTGTCTATTTATTTGGTGTTCCAATTTTTTCCACATGATTCTCCACTGTTTAAAGCTCTTCGGGATTCTACGCGAAGCCCCACAGGCCCCTACATGACCTAGGGTTTAGGGTGGGCCGCTATAAGCCCCTCTGATGACCCGAAACCCTCAACTCTTCACCATCACAGCAGGTGGGACTTACGGGAAGCAGCCTGGCAACATGTCCGTTCGGCGCTCCACGAGGTAAACCTGAGCTTTTCAAGGCAGGCAGTCGTGGTGCTAGAGGGAGGCTGCAAGAATTCTAGATAAGCATCATTGCATCATCACCAAGACCATCATCCGAAATATACAGCATCGTCAGGGTGCCTGGCGTTTGTTGACGGAAATTGCCTTTACGATACTGCGTCAGATTCTTCCTGCTGCCATTTCTGCACAAGTTCTGTTGCATCTTAATAGCTTCGGCTTTCTTCTCATGTGTAGTAGTTTGCAGTACAATACTGCCCGTATTCTTGACCATACATGTCGTGTTCCATCCACTTTTCGATCCTAGTGGCTCGGATCTTCTTTTCCATCTTAGGAGGTTCTCAAATAGGGAGACCCCAATATGGACCTGAAAATACTACAGTCCTTTTGTTCAAGCTACCTCCACTAAGGTACCCCTAATTTTGGGAAACCCTAAACCCTATATACTCCCCTATCTAATCCCAGTTTCCATGTCATTTTCCATCTTTTTTCCATTTGATTCTCCATCATAGTAGGTACCCCTAATTGTGGGAAACTCCCCAAATCATACTAAACCTTAAACCCTCAACCCTAAATAGTAGTTTCCATTTTCTTTTCCACTATCCCTATATAACCCCCAATTTGGGGAAACCCTAAACCCTGAACCCTATAAACCCTACATAATCCCTGTATAACCCTTATATAAACCCCTATAAACCCCTAATTTTGGGAAACCCCAAAACCCTAAACCCTAAACCCCTTTTGGTACTTTGCACGGTGGAGCTGAGCCGCTGTGGTACATCTTTCGGCCGCCTCGTTGTCAATGGCCGTGCCCGGGTGCACGAAGTGCGTGACGTCCGCGATGTGAACGCCCACCTTAAGATAGCAACAGAAGCCATAATGATAATAATGGGGTCATGCGTAAAAATAAATACACCTTAAGATAGAACAGAAGTCAGAATGATAATAATGGGGTAAATGCAAGCATTTGAAGCGATAATAAAAGTGAGCAGCTGTGAGATTGTTTAGAGTTCAGGCTTACAGGCATGCTCCTAGAAGCACAGCAGCGGAACCACATACCAGACCACTTGGTCTCTCTACCGCTGGCCCGACAAAGGGTCAGCAGAGAGATATCTTCCTTCCTCAGCCCCCACCCTGCCAATGAAGGAATGTAACCTTCCCTAGACCCTAAACCCCAAACCCCTGAACCCCTGAACCCCAAACCCTGAACCCTGAACCCCTAAATCCTAAACTCTAATAGTCCACACCCGGAAGCTCACCTCTCTCAGATTGCTTCTCTAGCTTCAACCTGCTGAGGAGTAGACGCGATAGTTACCATTCGGCAGCGGCTCACAGGAAACAGCATCGTCAATGTCCTTGCCTCAGAGCATTGCTCATCAACAGCATGCAACGCAGGGAAGGATTAAGAAAACCTGCTGTAGCAATCGTAGTAGATGTCCATCAGCAATGAAGGCTGGTTCTATTTACATGGGCGTGATCTTGAAGTGGCATTCGGATGACCGTCCATTTCAAGACGTATGCTGCTGGCGGCACCACTTTACAACTCGACTGAGCCTGGGGTCCAAGGCCAGCAGACATGGTTTAAGGTTTTAGGGTTCCAGGGTTTAGGGTTTTAGGGTTTAGGGTTTTGGGTTTTGGGTTTAGGGTATAGTCTGAATAAAATCCTAGTATCCCTGTTAATCTTCCCCATAGTAGTTGCCTGTATAACCCCGCCTTCAAAGAGTTTAGACTATGGCTCACATCCCCTGAAAACTTGCGTGGCCAAGCCACATCCGGGAGGATCTACAGAACACACGCAGATCCCTCGAAGGTCTTCTCCTCAGTGCAAAAGATAGGCGAACTTTGGGTCCTGGCCCCACCCATTAACAGTCTATAATAGGGGTCATATCAAGGGGTCTATATAGTTACATTATGAATATGATCCAATTCTCTCGGTCTGAATGCCAGGGATAACGTCTTCATAGGGTTTTCAAGATAGATCTCAAACACACCCACACACGCACAACCCCATACAACAGGACTCCACATGTAGTGGTTTGCTTAAATCAGGGATACCACTTTAGGGGCCCCATAGGAAGGACTATGATATATCGGGGCCGCATAGGGTTCGCTCTTTGTGGAAACTACCATGCATCTCCAACAGAAACTACAGTTTGCCCTGAACCCCTGGGCACTTCCGAAACCGCCTTTACTGACCTCACAGATATAGGCTTATGTAGGGATTGCACAGAGGTTAGAAATGGATTGTAGAGGGGTTATCTCCGGATTCTATAGGGCTTATATAACGTTTTATATATATAGGGGTAGCAGCACATGGAACAGAAAATGGAAATTATATTGTTATTAAACACAAATTCAGCTAACAATTACTCCGATCGCCACCACTACAACTCCTGCTATCCTTGCAACTTTTTCTACCGGTTCGTAGGAGTGAGGTCCTTTGGCGGTCTCTACAACCCATTCTAAGAACCAGCGACTCATTCAGAATTTTGCTCATCTGGGTCGGGGCGCGACCCTTGAGGTCCTCGGGACCAGGCTGCCAGTCTGCCGAAGGCAGACACCGGTACACCGCTTCGCTGAACTCCCGGGTGATGACACCATGCCTCAGGAGGTGTTAGGGCTTTAGGATTTCAGGGTTTAGGGTTTAGGGTTTCAGGGTTTAGGGTTTAGGGTTTCCGGGTTTAGGGTTTAGGGTTTCAGGGTTTAGGGTTTAGGGTTTCAGGGTGGAGTTTAGCTGGGTGTAGGCCAGTGTAGGGCGGAGGGTGATGACCTACATGACGGCTTCCAAAATTAGGCGCCCCATGTTGGGAGCTGCTTTCAGATGATTCTAGTATATTGGGGGGGGGTTCGGGTTTTTAGTTCCCCAAAGAAAAATGGATCCCCTGTTGAAAGTCTTCGGCTGACACCTGAGGCCCAGGCTCATGCAGGATCACCATGCTCTCAACAGATCTGTCCCCAACCTGGTTGGACAGGAAGAAAAAGTTTTTAGGGTTAAGTTAATGTTGTTAGGGTTTAGGGTTTAAGGTATTGAAAGCAAACATCCTGCATGACCTTAGTATGCTATAGTACCATTATTCCCTAGCGGATTTCAGCATCCACCGTACTACTAGGAAGTCTAGGGTCTAGGGTGTTAATAGAAAGAGCAACATGCCTGTTCTCTACCCGGCTGAGGTGATCTTTAAGAACTGAGACCGAAATAGAAAATCCAAAACCCCAGCTACTAATCCCACATCCCAAAGCTTCACATTCAAGCAACCTAAACCCTAAACCCTGCACCCTAAACCCGAATCCCTAAACTCTAAACCTAAACCTTAGCCCCTAAACCGCCTAAACCCTACTCCCTGCCCTAAAACCGCATCCAGGTACATCGCCCAGAATCTTGGTCCAATGGCCGGAAGGATGATGGCTGAACCGATCCCAACCATCCAATACCACCACGATGCGCTTGTTCTCTAAGTTTGCAGAATGCCTGCTTGTAGGGTTCAAGGATTAGGGTGTAGGATATTGGGGTTGGGGGGGTTGGGGTTACCAAAATCCCCTTAGTATTTAACGCTTAGGATTTAGGGTTAGTTCTCGAAGTTTGCAGAATGCCTGCAGGGATACTTTTTTAGGGTCCCCATAATAAGGGTTATAGGGTTGTCTTGGGATAAGGGAATTTAAAATGGAAACTACGAAGTAGGCTTAGGGTTTAAGGTTTAGGGTTTTGTAGGGTTTAGGGATGTAGGGTGTAGGATTTGGGGTCTTATGTCTAAGGGTATGTTTAAATGGAAACTACCCCCGCAGACTGCCTGCTTCGAGGATGATGGAGAAGAAAATGGAAACCACCGTAACAGGATGTTGGTAACCCCAACCCCAAAAATTAGGACCCCATGTCTATCATATGATGGTCATAGGGTCCTAATGTGGGGGGTTGGGGTTACCAAAATCCCCTTAGTATTTGAGGCTTAGGATTTAGGGTTAGTTCTCGAAGTTTGCAGGATGCCTACGTGCAGCGGGTGTAGGATTTAAGATTTAATGCTTAGGGTAGGTTAGTAATGGAACAGAAGATGGAAACTACCATAGAATTAGGTTTAAGGCTGCAGAATGCCTGCTAGGATGGTCAGTAAGTAATGATGGAAAGGAAAATCGAAACTACTATAGTACTTAGGGTGTAGGGTCAGGGGGATTTAGTAAGTAGGACATAGTAGGACAATAACCCCTGTAATCCACATAGAAAACCTAATTATCCTAATCATTCACCTACTTGCCAAATCCCCCTGACCCTCTAAGTGGTCTGTATCTGCCCTAGGACCCTTCCAGCTGCTTATAAGCCGAGTCCCAGAAACTTGATCACTTTCAGGACACTCCTACAGTAGCCTGGTCTGTGTCATGAAGCCCTAACCCTAAACCCTGAATAATATAATACTTTTAATTTTCTCTTCCTATTACCAAGTCCCCCTGACCCTCCAAGTAATTTTAGGAAGTACCCATGAAATCCTAAACACCATTTTCAGGACGCCCCATGGCCTGGTCTGTATCATGATGTTAGGTAGCCGGGCATCTGCTGGAACGAAAATCCGGTCAGACTTGTTGTAGGTGCCTGGTCCGTGCTCCTGCTGCCGCTCCGCCTGGAGCGGCCTCAAGGTGCCGCAGTACTCACGCCAGTTGCGCTTCAGAATGCCTACCACCCGCGCCTTGGGACGTTCTACTGAAGATGCCTGAGTCTGCATCTCCTTAATCTCATCAGCTGCAGAGGGAGCTTTGCCCGAAACCCCGAAGTCTGGGTCTCCCACCTCAAGGCGCAGGCGTTTGTCGGCACGCTCGAGGACGTCGACGCTGTCCACCTTCTCCACAACAACTACGTCGCCGTCAATGGCACGGTTGAGCGCCAGCCGGCCAGAGACTTCGACTTCTTCCGTTCCACTGCATGTCACAGTGCCGTGCATGCACGTGTTCATGTGCATGCGTAGCACACCTTGAAAGAGACGCCTCTCCTTGAGGCCACGCTCGACCTCACTCGCTTTTAAGTGAGCCGGGTAGACAGAGCCATCAGATGATTTCACAAAAGCATCCTTTCGCTTCGTGCCCCGTGGGGTGCTTGCAGGCGACTTGGACTGCGTGGCGGCACCGCCAGCTTCTTGCATATCCACTTCCTCATCTTCCCGAAGCGCCAGCTTTTCACCAGCTTCTGGGAACTTGGCCCTCATCCTCTCCACAAACTCGGCTGCACGGAAAGCAACAAGTCCATCAGATACCGCTTTCGCCTTGCAGGCACGGTCATCCGTAAGCAGGAGCACCTCTGGACCAACGATATGCCGCCGATACCAGTGAGCCACTCGGCGAATCGCCCGATCATTCCTGTCATTTTGAGACTCCTGCGGAGCACGCTCCACGTACGTCTCTCGGAAGAATTCGTTCGGAAAGACGTAGAAACGACGTGCGTTCCTAGCCGAGGCCATCTCCTTGGCTCTCTCGCGATCTCCGACGCCCCTCCGCGCATTGCTTGGAGGAGCCGGTTCTTCGTTGAGCTCTGCTTCGGTCTCCTGAGAACTGCCATGGGTTCCCCATGTTCCCCTACATTCAGGGGAACCCAAGGGGTGGTAGTACGGGGGCTAGTAGCGCAACTCATGAAACTTCGAGAATGTCAGCAGCAAGTACCGTCAGTGTAGTGATGATATGGGCTTTGGAATAGCTCGGGATGACAGAAGGTTCAGGAGATGCAAGGTTGGGGCGTATCCCCAAGCAACTAGATTCCAAGAACCAAGCCATGCGCCGCAAATAGGACATCCTATAACGACCCTTCCTGAGTACGTCTCCTAGGATACTTGCATTGCTTCGGAATAGCTGCTGCTAGGCGCTGGGGATGCCTAACGTAGGGGCATGTTGAAGTCTGTGCGAGATACCCTGTACCATAACTACGCAAAGAATTTAGGACCATTATACTGGCGATTATCCCCTGAATACACCCAGTGTCCGTTTCATGTATGCTGTTCTGTGCACTTGAACCAGCTGACCAGAATTCAGCCTTCTTCCCGTCCCCCTACCCTCTCCCCCGCCCCTACAACAAATCGCTCACCTCCCCGCCCCCGGCCCTCGTTTTTGATTATTCCCCCACTCCAGCCCACTCCCTCAACCCAAGAGCACACCCACCCAAGCTTTGCCAGACGCTTCTTACTTTGTAAGACTTGCTTGCTTTGCGACATCTTGGTTTCCTTGCCAGTCCCGCTGCTCAGGCGGATGCGCGCCGGCGCTTACAAATAGCACTCTTCACTCCGAGCCTATAATTCCAGCAATTACCAAGGAAGGCTTTTACCTGGAAGTTTGAGACCCCCCCCCGCCTTGTCTTGCTTTACATCACCTGTCTCAACGCGGCAAAGCGCTCGAAGCCGGGCATAGATTCCCATGTTTCTGTGTCTGACTTCCTGCAAAACCTGGGCTGCATGGGTTTAGGGTTTAGGGTTTAGGGTTCAGGGTTTAGGGTTTAGGGTCGACTCTCTGACAAGTCATCTCGGTACCCTAAACCCTCAAACCTAAACCCAGTTGGGACTTAACTCAGACGGTCAGGCTTCGAATCCCACATCTCTTATTGGGCTACGGGGTTCCTAGCGATGGCAGCAGCTTATGCTATATAGGGATAATGGAAAATGAAACGAAAACACTATAGTGTTATAGGGTCTATCTTGAAGCTATATAGGGATAATGGAAAATGAAATGGAAACTACTAGAATGTAATAGGGCATAAAAATAAAATGGAAACTACTACCTATCCAACGGCTCGGAGATCATTGTATTGGAGCTCATCCATACAGCCAAAGGAGGAGCCTAAATCATTGCGAATGTAGAGGCCCGGATGGCTAGCGATATTTATTTCGAGGTCGCAGGAAGATCCCTGTAATAGAACTACGCAAGGAATCTCGAACTAGAATATTGGTAATCATCCAGGCTTCTAGATTAACCTTCTTGTGTCTTTGCATGCCTATCTTACATTTTACAACAAAACTCCTAACTACTTCTTCGGCAATGAGATGATGTGCGAAGAACCACCTAGCGGAACTTCCGAATAATATTCTCAATTGCTATACGCGTTCCCCTAATCCCAGCCGCTCAACATCCCGTAAATCCCCACGAATCAGCTGCCCAGAGACCGTGTATGGCACCACAACATGGTTCACGCATTCATCCTCCGCAATCAAATCGATTTGATGGAGCACCTAAGGCTGCAATCTGGTGATGTTTACTCGGTTTATCCGTACTTTGTCGGGCTTAAGGCTTGGGTTGTGGGGAGTTTCAAAGTTGGCTTTATGGCCTTATACCGAATTTAGAACAAGGCTACCAAAAATCCAAGACTAGTTTCAACCCCAAGCAAGCCCCTGAACTCCATTCCAGGCACGATGTTCGTGTCCAACACTAAAACCTGGTCTGCGCCTTCAAAAGGCTCCGGGATGATGTCGTCTCTCAGATACACCTGGTATGGGGTTTGGGGGATTTAGGGGTCATGAAGGAATAATGGAAAAGAAAATGGAATCTACTATTTAGGGTATAGGGTTTAGGATGGTTTAGGGTTTAGGGGGGTTTAGGATCTCGGCCTTTGACAAGAAGGTGGTGTCCAGGATTTGGGGTTGAATGTAGGGGTCTGAATACGTGCCCCTAGCATTTTGAGGTCTACTTGTGGGGCTTATAGGGTTACTATCTCTAACAAACGGATTTTGGTAAACCCAACCCCCAGAATTACGACCCCATCACCATTATATGATAGTTATAGGGTAATTTTGAGGGGGTTGGGGTTACCAAGATCCCCTTAGTAGTTTAGGGTTCAGGGTTTGAATTGTGGGGCTGGAATTTCTTGTTACATGGTAGGCATTCCGGGTTTCAAGCTCGGGGTTGGGTTCCCCATGCTGTACCAAGCTACAACTAGCAGGACCGTTGTGGGATATATACGGAAATTTCCCAAGATTAGGAATAGGAATACCTTTTTTTGGGGGGGGTACTCATAATGAGGTCTATAGTACTTGGGGTTCTAGATTGGAGTCCCCCTATTTTCGGAAACTACCATCTAGATGCTTGCTGAACCGCTAAACCTCGCCAGCACTGCCACTTTTTGGAAAATCCTTATACTCCCACCGGAGCCCTGGACTAAATTTGTAGTATATTCCTTAATCGGTCCCCCCCAAAACCTATACAGTCCCCTAAAGGTCCCCTCCCACCCTAAATTTAGTCCGTAACTCATTCAGGGTCTAAACTGCTAAAATATCCCCATGAATAACTCCTATAGTAAGTAGTCCGCTATAGTAGTCCCCTATATAACCCCCCTTTAAAAGGGACCATAATTTTGACAACCACCCACCTCACGAACAACCTTTCGTATCTTGTTTTGCCGCGTCCGCCGCAGCCAGGAGCTGAGTTGCCGTGAGCTGCTGGGAACGTCGTCAGCGATGTCCGCCTGTGCGCAGTTTCCGGGTCTTTGGGTTGGTTTTCGGGAGGTTATATTGGGGTTAGATTGGGGTTAGATTGGAAAAGAAAGTGGAAACTACAATGTAGGGCTTAGGGTTAGGGCTTCAGGGTTTTAAGTTCAAGGGGTCGGTTCGAATGTTTATGGGCTTGCGGTTTAGGGTTGAGGGTTTAGGGCTTGGGGTTCCGAATTTGAGGGCCCCGGGTTTTGAACTCGCCGTCTAGCGTTTCAGGTTGCGGCTAGGGCTTCCAGGGCTCCAAGGCTTGACAATATTAGTAATAAGAATCACAACAACAAGAATACCAATAATTTAATCAAAATAATAGCACTAATACTAACAATAGAACTAATGATAGCAATGATAATAGTAATAATGATCGTAGCAACACTAATAGTAATACTGATAACAATAGCAAGAATAATCCTTGAATAATAAATAGCAAATGGACAAGAAAGTGACAAATGAAATGGTAACTAGAGTTCTTTGAGCTATAGGCTAAACTCCTGAAAGGGGTTATATGGGAGACGACTATAGGGGTTATTAAGGGGGATACTAGGAGCTTAGACTAAAGCTCAAATGGTAACTAAAGTTAAACCCTAAAAAAGTAGCTTCCATTGTCGTTTCCATTCACCCTAAATAACCCCTATATGGTACCCTAAAACCTGATTAGGAATTACTACTAGAGTTCATGGTGCCTCCTCAGTTGGTTGCGTGTTTGGGCTGTGGGATGGTGGGATCAGTAAACACCTGGTTTCTGGGATGATTCAAAAGGTTCCTGGCCATGATACAAGTAAACTATTAGGATTTAGGGTTTAGGGTTGAGGGTTCACGATTAGCTAGAGCTGGAAGCCAGCAAGGCTTGTTTCATCATTATACGTATTTGGTATCACCCCACCCTCCCAGAATCTACTCTCCCCAGTATCCCCCTTAAATAATCCCTAGAATACTCCCCCATATAATCCCCTATCTAACCCCCTTTGAGGAGTTTAGACTTAGCTTACATGAGCCCTGCAAAGAGATTCCGCCTCCGTAATGATGGCGTCATTGGAGAAGCTGCCCATGGTTCACAGCGGCCAAAGTTAGGCTAAGACAATGTAGGGGCCTAAAAGACTAGTTGTTCCAAGAAGCACTATGATTATTGCTACTATTACAACCAGAATGACTGTAATAATGGTTGGGTATGTCATGCTATTTCTTAAGCAAGCATTGTGAGCTGGTAATTTGGGTAATTGCATATTCAGTCTTCTCTCCTCTTGGGGGAGTCTCTATTAAGGATTATGAGATTTTGAAATCCACATTAGATCTTGGGTCCCCCGACTGCTGGAAACTCCCACCGCAATCATACCTGTCAGACTCAGTGTCCTAAGGCCTGCTCATATTTACCAAAATAACTCTGCCGTTGTAAGTGTTTCAGGACAACGTGAATTGCAGCTTGAAGAGGCAAGTGCTCGCACAGCCTCCAAGAGGTCACAAGCAACGAGTGCGTGCGAACATTTCGCAAGCTAAGGCCTCAAGGTCCCTAGAGAACCCTAAATGAGCTATAGCCTAAACTCCTTAAAGGGGGTTACATAGGGAATTATATAGGGGAGTATTATAAGGGTTAAAAAGGGGGATATTAGGAGTTTAGACTAGAGCTCAAATGATCAGAATGCACAGCTTTGCTCAACTACCTACGGCCCCTTCGCAGCCACAAGCACATCAGGCAACCTCTCACGGCTGAGGGATCAGCCCTTACGCTTTAGCGCTTTGGGTGTAGATCTTGTTGCGATTGTCAGAATATTTAAGGTCAACAAAAGCACTCCCTTGAGATTGGCTTCAGGGTTCAGGCTTTGGTTTAGGGTTTCGGGGCCAGCTTAGGGGTCACCCCAAGAAAAGCTGCCTAAGTGTGCCGCCGTTACTCTTGCGATGGGCCCATACAGCACCATAATACCTGCATATCCCTCTACATGATATTTCTCACCTTCCAGCCTACACAGATTGGGTTGGGCTTGTCGCAATTCTGGTCCCTTGTTGGGTCCCCAAGATGATACAGAAAAAGACCAGGATTTTAGATGGATTTTGGTAACCCCAACGCCCAAAATTAGGACCCTATCACCATGATATGGTAGTCATAGGGTCCTAACTTAGGGGGTTGCGTTTACCGAGATCCTTTTATTACATAATGTTGAGAAGCCGTCATACGCGAGGCTTAGCTTCCATCCTCTGGCTGTAGGCTCTGCCGAACCAACCCGGTCACAGCTTCCACAATCTCCTGAGTGGGAATTTGGGTTTGAGGTTCAGGGCTTAGGGTCTGCCCTAAACCCTGAACCGGTTTGAGGCCTAGGGCTCGGCGCTTAATCAAAGCTAAATTTCAAGCCTATGCGACCCTGATGAAAGCATGCACACCCTCTACGCTGTCCTCCGTTATCCTTCTAAGATCCCTACAGGACCTCTTGAAGTCCCATGTGCTCCTGTGGGGACATAAGAGGAGAAATAGGAAGTATAGGACTAGTGAGGATATCGGATGCGGGGGATGTAGGGGATACAAGGGGCGTGACAAAGACGGAAAACGGAAACTGCTGTACGCGTTGGGCAGAGGGGTTGTCAAAATGCGGTCCTTTTGGATACCCCAAAAACTACGGCCGTGTTGTTATAGGGACACAAACTACGACCACCATTTTGTCAAATTGCCATTTGGAGGGAGAAGAACCATCATCGCTGCGGCAACACTGGCGAAAATCATGGTAACGGTAAGCTTGGAGACAAAAATCTTCGAGCTGTAAGTATTGTTTCAACAATTCTGTCATCAACAACAGTAACACAGTCATCGTCATCATGGTCATGAACACAATAAACAACCAGCTGTTACTCATAGTGCACACAATGAACAAGGCAAATGCATCAAAATCAGAAGACGTCGTCTACAGTCTACATGTGCTCTCGAAATGCGTTGCATGCATTTCTCTGCAAGCAGCTGTCCTCGGGGTCATCAGAATCAATGAGACCTGCCTCAGTCATCACCATCCGGCAGTGCACAAAAAACTTAAACGAAAGGCTACAATACAAGAAGACGTCCAAACCAGGACGAAAGATGGTTTGAATCCGGCGAGTCTGGTTGCAAGCGGGACAATCCGCGCTCTCAAGAGCTGCTTAAGGGTCTGGCCATCGCTGCTGTTGTCTCATGCGCAACAGCTCAGCTGAGTGTTGTTTGCTTAGGATTTGGGGACTAAGGGCTGAGACACCTCTTGTAAGTTCCAGACTCCATGAAATCTTAACAAACTGCAGAAACAGCTACAAAGTTGCGACTGCCGAAGACATTCTTTCCGCGCTCAAGATCATTGGCCTCTTTACGTGCATCGCGCTGATCTTGAGCCAGCATCCATACAGGTGAACACGGACTTTACAGGGATGATGTAGGAGGGATTTGGGTGGAGGTCAAGGGTTATATAGGGGATCAGTTCTGTCAAAATCCTTTGGTGGCCGTGGGTATTAGCACTAGTTTAGCTGAATTCGCCATCCTTTTCTGTAAGGCTCGGGGATCTACATTTGAGACATACTACACTCCTAGTATCCTTCCTAGAAACCCCTGTAGTAGTCCCCTACATGATCCCCGTTACAGCCCCCCTTTAAGGATTTTAGACTATATAGCTCATGTAGAGGTGTCCTGAATCATTCTTCCTTTCTGGAAACCTAACCAACCTAAACCCTAAACCCTAAACCCTGGGAGCTCGAGGATTCTGTTCAGGATCATCTTGTACCTGACTGAAAAGCAGGCAAGGCTTGAGGTATACAGTTTGGGATTTAGGGTCTAGGGTTTAAGGTTTAGGATTTAGGGGTTCGGGATTTAGGGTCTGCGGTTTTGCGTCTAGGGTTTAGGGTCAGTATTCGCTCAAAACAAGCTTTGGCATTCTGCAAAAAAAAGTGCAAATCCGCCTTTTGTAATACGAGAGGCTGAGGATTGCAAAGCTCACGCGGCAGCAATCGTCAACACCATCCCTGCTGGCTACAAGAAAAAGGCATACTCAAATGCAAACCATCAAAACTCAGAAACTCAACTAATCATGGTGCTAGCAATAAGCATTATGATACCAATACATAGTCGTCAACCAGCAAAGGAAACGCTCAGGGAGCAAAATCGCTCGCTGGAAAGCAGACGACCCTTCCAGGTCAAGAACTGCTCCCGCAGCCTTGGTCTTGTCTTGGCTTCCCTTAAATGTCAGTTGGGCTTGGAGGCACTGCTCGCTGCATACTGAGCCCCTTTGCTTGGATTAGAAGTGTCAAGACTTGGTTGCAGTGGTCATGTGTACAAAAGTTGCCTGCTACCTCCTCTTATTGGGAGGGCGCTGCCACGGCGTCAGAACTCACACAAAGTGATCCTGGCAGGACATGTGAGGTTCTCAAGAACAAGGGAACAAACCTATCTTTGGGGATATCAGCGGCGCTGACTTTGATAAGCGCTCACATGAGCCCTGGGCTAAAGTTGTAGTATATTCCTTAGCGGTCCCCCCTAAGCCGCGTGTACATCCCCCTATAGGTCCCCCCCAACCTAACTTTAGTTCGTAGCTCACATGTACATCTGCGGGAGCCAGCATGGGGAGGCGCAGATAGAGGAAGGGAGAAAAGGAAAAAGGACTGAAGTGGAAGCCGCAAAGAGGAAGGATGCATAGACTGGCCTGTGGTTAGCTGAGGAATGGAAAGAAAATGGAAACTACTATAATGGGTTATATAAGGGCTACTGTAAGGATCCATTCCTTCATTCCTAGAGCAAACCATGGATGCTACGGACGATGCCCACTGAATGCACCTATTCCTTTGTGGGAATGGGTTTTCCACGGACGGGAATTGAAAGTCATGGCCGTAGCTCCTAAAGCCTGAAGAGATGACCATGAGGCATGGAGGGCGGAAGACCCTAAACCCCAAACCGTGGAGGCTGGCAGGACAAGCGGGGGAACTCGCGCCTCGTGGTCTGCACCCTCGTTGCCAACCTCTTCCTGCTGCGTGAAGTTCAGGAAGTGTGCCGGCCTGCAACTCCGTTGCATAATATGTTCTCAGAATTGCGGGCCCTGCATTTTTAGGTGTGCCGCGACTAGGATCATTATTTGCAAGCTAACAGTGTTGGCAAGACCATTAATAGTGGATAGTAGGGGAACTATGAAGAACTGTATATACGTGTAGTATATTTACTACCCAGCTACTACTGAGTGGGGGCAGACACCTGGCATTGAATACCCTGTTAAGGCTTGGCCCTTGGGCAAGGCACGGGATTTCCCAGTCGCATACACCCGTCACGACAAACTCTAAGCCCTAGGCCCAAAGTCAGACGTTTTTGGTCGCCTTGTGACTGCAACATCTCTGGCAGGAAAGGTCATGTTGCTGAAACATAACTTCTTGGATTTCGCGCTGGTGTCCCACTGTACTTTGAAATCTTCAACAGTTTCCTTCCTCACATTGTGAGCTACAGTCAATATGTCCTACATAGTCTTATAGAGATGGTTTGCTTATTGGGGAGTGCATAATGCACCGCACTGAACCACAAGAGGGACCCCTACGTCCACTGCTACGTGTCCCTTAAGGAGGCTAATACTGACAGCAGCTCACATATCTCCCTTGAAACCCCTACAAACTCGCAGTCTCCATTTCATTTTCCATCTTCTTTTCCATTTGATTCTCCATCATAGGGGGCATTATCAGTAAACCCTTAATCTGGCGAATATTGACCGTAGCTCCCATGATTCTCATACTGGCAGATACACCAAGCACGGCCGAAACGCCTGTGGTTCTCGTGGTAGTACTCGCGAGGATTCTCCACCTGAGAAAGATTGGGTGCAAAAATTGTGGGCCCTTTGTGCGGCCTTAAACTTAGAAGTATAATATTTTGGGGTGCAGCTCCCATTGATAAGTCGCCATCTGGGACTGGCATTTATCAAGCTTCTGCGCCTCCGGTTCTACTATCACAAAACGTCTGATGGACAAGAATTCCCGGACTTCACTGTAGAACCTGGTAATTTCTTGGGGCATTACTTACCCATCAACGTAACCGGCCTTAAAGGAACAGAGACGAATCTAATTCCTATAACCTTTT